TCCATACGGCGTGAACGCACTATTATGGATCAGAAAATAGGCAAAACAACTTTTCTGAATTCGGCTCATCACTCATTTTAGGTGTTCTGTAAAATTGAACTAAATCGGTAGATTTGCTTATAAAGATATTCTAAGCTAGAACATGCTTCCTTTATCCCATTACAATGATGACGGGTTTATCCGTATAGTAGCGAAGAGGGAGGTGGAGGGCGTTGGGTAGTACATTTTGTTCCAAGAGTTACGCGCTGTTACAGACTCAGTACTTATTTGAATGAGCACCGCGTTACAAAAACCATAGAGGTGACTCTTTGAACGGGGCTCGGTGTAACTCATCCCATGGAACTGGCATCGGTTTCGGTGCGTGCAGCTCATGGCTGCCTCACGGCGCCTTACAGTTGCCACTCCAGCTCTGAAGGAGACCGACGATTGTAAGATAGGGCGTAAGTAAATGGGCAGAGCGATTGAACGGCGGTGGTCTGGTGGCTAAGGTCATCGAAATAGCGACCTATACGCCATGAGTTAGAATCTCTCAATCGCCACCCATCCTCATTTGTATATTTCCACTGAAAGTTAACTGTACATTTGCATACTCATTGGACGAAAAAGGAAGTAGAAAAATTAGTTGTCATTCGTTAGTACTGTCTCATTCTCCTACTGGGGATCAAAAGACTCGCTAAGCGGTTATCTGGAGGTACGGGGGACATGGCGGCAGCTGTGATTAGGTTGTAATTTCGGGCAGGTCAGTGTTTGAAGTGTCGTGCATGCGGAATCGGACTGCGCTCAGTCTGTCAACCGCCGTGATTTCCCGTTTGTCGGAGCAGAACGCCCCTTACGCCTAACGCTTTTGTAATTAGTGTGCTTTGAGTTTGACAGCGATGATGTCATCAGGACTGTAAGTCGAAATTAGCCAGCATCTTTCACAGTGGCCTCTCATGGTCGCTTAAAGAGGTTCGGGTTCTTATCGTGCTGAGGACTGACTTAAGAAATAGAGTTCACGAGTGAAGCATCAACTTTCCCGTTTAGCCAACCGCTCGTCGACTAATTTAACGAAGGTCGTCTCTTTCGTAGGTGAAGGAATGACAACGACCGTTACCTCCGCGGTAGCTGCCAGTTGCCAGCGGTTCCATTATACGCGCTGTCAATCGACCTGGGCGCAAGACGAAGGCCCTCACATGTGTTTGCCGAAGTTTCAAATATCGTTGTCTAGGTGGTGTACCAAATACAACGCGAGTCAGCCCTTCGGAGTGATGAGCAGGTTTTTGATATATATATATATATATATATATATATATATATATATATATATATATACCACCGGCTTGTAGACAAGCATGGTGCCAACGCAACTACAATAATGACTAACATTAAAAGGGGATTGTGGTGGATT